CTTCCTTGGGACACCATGAGACATTTACTAAAATGCTGCAAGGAATCCTCCCCCCCGCAAACACAGAAACGTTTCCTTCTGCAAACACAGGAATCACTGATAAATGGAGTTTTAGAACCCCAGATACCAATTGATTCCAGACATCTTCGATGATTGTTGGAAGGTGGATGGGTGGATGGATGGATGATTTATTTTATTTATTTATTTTATTTGTCAATCGCTTACAAGATAATAGGTATAAGGATAAACACAGTTATGAATATAAGAAATGAGTACACATAAGAAAAATAATAAGAAAATAATAAGAAAAATAAAAGAAACAATAGGGCAGGGACGGTAGGCACTTTGATGTGTTTATGCACGCCCCCTACAGACCTCTTAGGAAAAGGGTGAGCTCAGTGATGATATCAATCGATCTAGAAGGAAACTGGTGTTACTTTCACTGATTTGTACTGAAAGTCCTGCAGAATCAATCAAATTGACAAAACGTATCCAAAACATTCCTTCAATCCAAACCTTTTCTCTGTCCAATTTTTCATATAAACCCTGGAATGCTATTTAACAGAGCCATTTACTTTGGTGCATAGCTTTGCTTTGGGAATTTATAAACAATGAGACCGGTTTTTTTTATAATTCCTCCTGTACCTTTTGTGTACTCTCTTTCCCTATCAGGAGGGCCTTGTCTCCTTCGAGGAGGTGGCTGTGTATTTCTCCATGGAGGAATGGTGTGAGCTGGATCCTGACCAAAAAGCTCTGCATTGGGAAGTCATGCTGGAAAATTACAGGAACGTGGCCTCTCTTGGTAAGGGTCTTTCCTATTCTCCAGTCAGAGACTTCAGGAAGATATTTTGTAGTTGGATACCACTGGCTGTTTCTTATTTTAAAAATCTCAGATAAATTTTATTTCTGGAGATGAAGCAGGTAGAAATACGCCATTCTCCTGCTCCTAAGAAGGAAATAAATCTGTGACGTTCTCTTTAGATGCATCATGTGTCATTTAGCATCTGATGTATTTTCTATTTCTATTTAAATATGTCAGTGACAAAGTAACTGACTTGCTTGCTGTAATGCTTGCTTGGCTTGCTGTAATGCTAAACTCCATCACAGATTTCAGCTTTTTTGGCTCAGATAATTCCATATCAGACCTGTGCCACCATGATGGTGCAGTAGTTAGAATGCAGTACTGCAGACTACTTCTGCTGGACTGCTGGCTGCCTGCACTTTGGCAGTTCAAGTCTCACCAGGCTCAAGGTTGACTCAGCCTTCCCTCTTTCTGAGGTTAGTAAAATGAGGACCCAGATTGTTGGGGGCAATATGCAAACTGCTTCTGTTTGATTTCTCTCCTGCACCTTGGAATTAGGGATGAAATGATTTTCCATTACAAACATGCAACTTAAGGTTAATAAAAAAAAAACCACTAGGCTTTTTTCCCTCTTCAATTATGCAATTTTGGTCAAGGGGAAAACAAAATGCAAATGGAATATATTTTGTAACAGAAAAAAAAATGAGTTTCAAAAGGAATTTCTTGCAGGTCTCTGTTGGAATTGGCACCCTTCCACTACATGTTAGGTTTTCTTCAGAGCTGACTCTTCTTGAGATTTGAATGTCTGGATAATTATAAACAAAAAGAATGTTTGCTGTCCTGAAATCTTTTATGCTTCATTAATGTGGGAATTATCATTTATACCATTGTAAGCAATCAATTGTAAGTAATCTTAGAATTTGCAAAGTTTCAGAAGGCAATCATGATGACTTCCAGCTGGTCCCTTAACCTTGCTATCATATTTATTTCTCTTTCCCCTTGAAGGTGATAATGAGCAGGACCATAAAGAGCCAAGGGAATCATTCCGAGGGTTCATACATGGAGACGTAATGGAGAAACCTGCAATTCAAATGGAATTCCAAAGGCAGGAGAGAAACCCCTCAAATAATTGGAATAAGGAAAGCCCATCTTCCATTGAGGCTCACATGCAAGAGTTTCTTGAGGAAG